AATTGATGAAAGCGATCAAATGAAAAAAGAAGTGGAAAAATACAAAGAACTACTCAACAAGAAAGAAATTGAAATAAAAAAATTAGAACAACTTGAGCGGCAACGAATTGTAACTGATGAGCTGTCAGTTATCAAAGATGAAATTGGGTGCGTTAATTCTATTATATGGAAAATTTTAATATGAAATACCAACCTTTGTAATCTGATAATTGTTTCCATGTTACATAATCGAATAATCCTTTACACATGCACATTTATTAACACAAATTAATGAGTTGTCAATATTGCATTATAGATTTCAATTAATGAATTCAGATGGATATTTGAAAAGGGACGAGGAAGTGAAGAAATTAAAAAATGAGGTAATACAGAAATTTAATTCTATTCGTTTCTTGATCGTTTTACTTTTTCGATTCTTGGTATAAAGGTTTGAGATTTTTTTAGATTGCTAAACTCTTAACTGAACGAGAGGATGTAACAATTTTAAAAGAAAATTTAATGAAATTGAAGTCTGAAAACGAGGAATTAATAAATAAGATGAAGAATTGGAATGTTCAAGATCCAAGCGATATTAAAAGTAGTGAACAAATGGTATGTTATTTTTATGAAATTTACTTGAATAAATTTAATTTAATATATTCTTGTAGTGAGTTGGAAGATTGTTTATTTAAGCGCCTGAGCGTATCTTACACATGATGTATTTTCACCCATTTCTACAGCGAGAAATATTATATTGGTAGTGATGTCGCGAGATTGAAATCTTCGGAGGATTGAGCAATCTACAATTGACTCCTTATTACTTCAGCGAAACATTATTTGCATAAGTTTCAGAAAAAGAATATTTATTGACTGATCCACTTCATTCATATTAAATTTTTTCTCCTTTTTATTTCAACTTTAGAAGTAAAGTAAACTTTTCAAGAGATCCGATGTGGAGCAGAAAATGAGTGAAGAGATTAGTCTGAAACAGCAAGGTACAGAAATCTCGGAAATAAATGAGAAACGTTTGCGAGGTATGGGAAATTTTCTTGATGACACGCTTTATAACATACGCTGATCAATGAAGTATTTAAGTAATTTAATAATAGTTAGAAAATTGCGAAATTGTTGGCTTGTTATAGAGTATTGAAATGACTGTAACACCATCAAATTCATTCATTTTTCCTACTCTCTGCTCTTTTCCTGAACGTCAGCTCGAAAAACAACTTAATTCCTTTGTAGCAATTACTATCACACAGTAACTATTAGCATCACTAATGTCATGTTATGATCACTTAATCTGCTACTATAATTGTTGTTAATTATCAAGTAATTAATGATCAATTTTCAGAAGAATTTCAAGCACAGTTGGAGAAACGAATTGAAGAAGAAATGTTAAAAGTAACATCCAAATATGAAATAGAAATCAAAGAAGTCAAAAACAATGCTAACGAAAAGGCTATTTTTTCTCAATGCTAGTAAAATTATATTTATAACATTTGAATGCTCTTAAATCTTCAATTCTAAGAATAGATTTTGCACCTTTTGAATCCTTAAAACTTTGTTGAATTTTTGCAGCACTTCAATAATCTTGACTTTAGATCTCAAAATTGTAGAATTTCAAAGAACTTTTCGACACTAAATGAACTGGGTACAAATTTTCAGAATAAAGAATTAGAAGCGAATATGAATATGCTGAAAAAAGACTGCAGTCAAAAAGCAAAACAAATTGCCGAGCTATCTGATAAAAATAAAGAATTAGCGGATGAAATAAGTATGGTAAAAAGTGAACTTGAAAAGAAAAACCAAGAAATCAAGAACTTCAGCAAAAAGACGGATGAATATCTCAGGTGAAAATTGATTTAATTTGATGAATTAACCATTGGTTTCAAGAGTCCTTTAAAAACCCCAACAAATTATTTAATATAATGACAGTATGAAGTTATGACGGAAATTTTAAATTTTATCAGGAAGCGAGAAAATCAACAAGCTCAGATCCTTGAGAAAAAAATTATAAACCTGAATAAGGAGCACGAAAAAACGATCGAAATGATGAAAAAACATGAAACGGAACTGACAAGCAAGTATCAGAAGCTTCAGCAACAGATCATAACTAAGTTAGAGTTGTTACAATATTTTGTAAATGTTATTTTTTCCCAAACATCTGTAGATGTTTTAAAAATTTATCAGAATTGACTGAAGTTATCGATATTCGAGTATATATGGATGCTTTGTCACTGCGACTTTGCTGAAAATTTTGTCAAAAAAATTAGATGTAAAGTGGATTGGCAATAATTTTTCAGGCCTAAAACTGGCACGCATGGAATACAAACGAATATTGATGATGAAAGTGAAGCAGGAACGAGTAAAATAAATGTGGAATTGAATGAGCAAATGGAACAGTTCCGAAATGCACTTGGAGTGAGATAACATTTTTATGCATTTTGTCGCCATTTCATTCAAAATTGTAAATAAATGTCTTCCCAAAGCTCCACTGAAAACTTTGTTCATTAATTGTTTAGGAAAAAGTTTATTAATTATTTAGGAAAAAGATGCTCTCATATCTCAGCTGCAAAAAGCCCTACAAATTTTGCAAGAATCAGAAACAGAGAGCAAGAAAAACAGATCGGTTTGTTGTTTTTCAACAATGTTATAATATATTTGCATATATTTCGGTTTTGCATACACTAATACAAAATTGAAAAAAATTTCTTTATATGATAGAGAATTATTTTGAATTCACTCATTCAATCTTACTCAGCAATATATCGCTTCAGAATAGTTTCACAGCTGGCGAGGGTTCCAAGAATAAATCAATTACAAGCAATTTACAAATTTTACTTACTGAAACGAAACGACAAGCTAAAAATAACGCGGGAAGTAAAAATGAGCAAGAGCCTGCCAAGGAGAAGAAAAAAGAAAAAGAAAGCGGAAAGGACAAAATGAAGCTAGTATTTTGTACTAATTTTTGTTTCATATTTATCAATAGCAGTCAATTTGATCAAGTTTTCGACTCGAAAAATTAAAACGCAAAATAAACTCACCTTTCGATGTCAAGTTTGAATTTCCACTTTTAATTTTAATTTTTGAATTTAATAAACTCATTTCAGTCATTGCGTAACTGGTACGCCAAGGCTAAAATCACCTAGCTACTCAGCCAGACTTTATGAACGCAGTATTACGAAGTCAAAATCACCGACGGTAGATTTAATGAAGCAGAAAGAGGAAAAAAAGTAACTCATATATTTAAGCATGAAGAATGAACTAGGATCTGGATAATGCTCTGATTTTGTGCTTTATCTGTTAAGACAAAGATATCTAAGTTTGTGGAAGATGTCGAAAGTATGCTGTGACAGTCTCGTTTTCAGAAGTCTGCTGTACCCGGATTTCGAACGACCTTCATCGACTGACGAGCATAGACGAAGTTCCCCTGGACATCAGCTGTCATCACGCTCCAAAAAAGAGCCCACTTCGTCGTCTGCTGGTTCGTCTAATTCGTTGGGTAACAAAGATGACTTGAAAAGACCTGCTTGGAAATTCTAATACAATCGCTGCCAGTTTCAATATTTCTAGTACCTCTTCGTTCCAAATCTGCTGAAACAGCGTACAACTAAATTCATCAGAAGTGATTCAATTCTGCTGCAATATCTTCATTCAATCCAGCGCATTTTTTAGCATATATAGCAGCTTGTCTAAATCAACTACAATCAATTTAACCCGGTTGGGAAAGTTTTGGTAGTCTAAACACAGCACCTTTTCATTTACAGCTTGCTGCAACACTTTACATTAAATTGCACCACAAAATTTTTTTTATAAATTTCGAAATTTAAGTTTTTCTTTGGTTGTAATTTCGAATTTAAAACCTATATAATTCACCGAAACTACGTCCTCGGCTATAATTACTAGTCTGTATATTGTGCTCTTATATCAACTGTACATTTGACTGATGGTTTATTTTGTTATACGTACATTATATACACATATAATGTATGGTAGTTATTCACACTATTGTAAAGCAATATTCTGCACAAATGTGATAAATGTTTTGTTTAACATCATCACCTGATAGTATTCTGAATACTGAATTTCAACAACTATTAGCAGAGGTGATGATGGCTAGAAGATTATGCATATGAAGCAAATCCACATCCTTCTTCCCCTGCAATTTGTTTCTGTTCTTCCATGACCACTGGATCCTTCGTGATGAGAGAACTATTGACGATTAGTTTGCAGAGAAGTAAAAGACACTTTTTGTAAGAACAAGAAATTTGGTGACAAAATTTTACTACCAAAATATATAATGAAAGATGATGTTAATGTTGCTGGCAATTGCCGTATTCTCGCATTCCATCACAACTTGGATCAGTAATTTCAACAACAGACTTTGAGGCAAAGTCTTTGTTAGAAGTGTTGGAATTATTCGCGTCGTATAAACAATGTCCTTCACATGTTGTAATTGTCGATGGAAGAATTGGGAGAGATGGAGTTCACGATGCAACGTTTTCTTTAGAGGCGCTATCGACAATGGTGATTGTATTAAAAAAAAATTATCCAATGTCACGAGGAAGCAAGAAGTCTTGTCACTCTAGCACAGTAACAGGTAATGGAACAGGTAAATTATATTTTTTATTAAAAGCTAGCATTTTATTGTATAATTTTTCTCTAGTGTTTATTACCTAATCTAATTCTTTCTCCATCGTAAGCATATACCATATACTGTAATATGCTCACGTAATACTACCAGCCTTCACGCGGCAAATTCATTGGAAGAACCAAAATAATCGAGTTGTTTACAAACGTATGGGTAGCTTGCATTCATGCATCGGCTCTTATTTGAACTCTTAATCAGACTTGTCAAGAACCTCTTTGTACTGACTCTGCTTGAATTATCCATTCATCTTCAGCACGCGTGAGTGCTTACATACAGCAAAGCAATTATTCATTATAGTCCTCCATTTCGTTGTCATTAATCGTACAACCATTGCGGCTACTTTGACTACATATCATTTCTAATTTCTAGCTTATTCTCCTTGATCCACTGAGTAAATGCTTGTTGCACAAGTGTCCAGAACCTGAAAGTACTCAAGACCGAATCTTGCAGCAAATTTCTTCTTACCTGTGCATTACATGCATGGACAATCTATGAGGTAATTGTGTGCGAGACAAATTAATGAGATCAATTCATTATAGATAACCAAGGAATAACCTTCGAGTTCTTCCCATAACAACTGTTTTCTACAGCCAATGATTCAGTGAAGTTAAATAGTAGTAATTTTAAAACATTTGCAAGACGTAAATCATTTATAGGAAGAAGCAAAAATTCAGCCAAAGCTATCAACTCTTGCACAACTGTATAAAATAGTCCCTCCCATCGTATGACTGGCACGTTTGCTTTTCTAAGCTCGCCTATAATGTAATCAATTACATGTTCCTGTGCTGCATTCTAATGCGGATAATAAAGCAAAGCTGGATTCCATTCTGTGTCATCGATCGATGTGATAGATGAACCGATGAACTGGCCTGAAGGGTAAGACACGGCTTCACATGGACTGCCATATCAGTAGTAGTAATTCGTCTCGAATGCGGCAAATAACTAAGCAATTATAACATGGACAGGACTCATGAGTCTTCCCCTCGAATTAACAGGTAAACTATGCCAATATTACAACCCTATAAATGTTAAACTTTATTACCATCAAAGTAAACCAATTAGAGATGAATCATATCAAGGCATGAATCTAACCAGCCTTACACCTCTTAAGGAAATTGAGCAAAATCTTACGCTACTCATTTGCTGACATTTCCGATGTTGGATACCCGTGTTCCTTTCGCATTCCGCAACCTCTGCCTCATCACTACCCGTTCTTCCCATGGACTCTCAAGCAACTTTCTTTACGTGATTATCACTCGACGTTGCATCATCTATTCGTCATTCTAATTTTACCCACCTACCACACCTACACATACATTGTGCCCAGCTCGGCGACGCTGAAATGAATGCGACATTTCATCGCACCCTTTAGATCAATAATATATCGATCTTTTTCTGTCACAAACTTTCCATTCTGCGTGACAATTAATTCTGCTCCATGCGAGTGTAGAGATTATTGGGTTTGATGAGAGCTAAACATTTTGACATTCTGTTGGCTTGTACTGGAGAGACGGAGACAATTACTGTAAATCTTGAAAAAATATTAATTAAAGAGGATTTCATCTTTTTTCGATCCCCAAACTGATTGAATAAATCACTACTGTTATCTCTCCCACGCTCCCTTCTTCTCTTCGTTACGATATTGATGACCCAAACGGCAATTTAGAACATTTGCTGATCCTCACACTCACACACATACATACACCGAACTTTCCAGTTTTTTTGCTTCAAATGTAAAATGTCAACTTATAGCATTATTTTATTAAATGTTTGTTTACATTCTTCAAGATAAGATGTAAATGCCACCAAGGTGACTCGGAATGGCCAGGGTAGACGTGAAAGTTACGATCGAGCTAAAATTCGTTGTTACCTTTATTCTGATGTGATTGTCATTTGCAGCATTAAAGTGAATGGAAATAAGGGTCATTGTGGACGGGGTCGAACGGAGTGTTTCTGGAATAACGGACAGCACAACATGCGCCCAAATTATTTATGCCCTTGCTCATGCTACGGGACAAAAGGGTCGCTTCGTTTTAATTGAAAAATTTCGAGATACGGTGAGTGTTTAAGCGCTAATTTAGCATTTAAAGAATCTGGATGATGTTTGGCGAAATCGAAAAAGGTTCTTATGTCTAATACCGATCTTTACGGAAGAAACATTAATTGGTAACTCGCTAGTTCCCCAGTTAAAAAACTTTTTCCTAATGTTCTTTCCGGAAATTATTTGCCAACCGACATTAATTTGCAATAGAATCAATTGCCAATTAAAAATCAAATCATCGACTTTTTGATTTAGGAAAGAAGTCTGGCACCATTGGATCGACCACTTGAAATGTTACGGAAATGGGGTATTCACTCACGTTACGTGAGGTTTCTGCTGAAACATCTAGATGAGGGTCCATCATCCGTTGTCAGTGAAACTTATCTTGTTGATACTGATGACCGATTGGTACACTATTCGATCTTTTTGCTTTTAGTCGCTGTGATCAGAAGGTCTTTATTCCGCTGCTCAAAAACCGTATCCGTCATATTTCCCCACATCTTTGTCATCCTTCATATAAGTTGGCTTTTGAGTGCGAACAAAGTTTCCGCTTACTGCCACATAGATTCCACTTTTTGCGAAGAAAAAATTGACATAACCTGGAAAGATTTCTCGTTTTTTAAATTTTGGTTTCTGCCGATTTCAACTATTTTTTTGTGTGCAAATTCTAAAAAAAAAATGTTTAAGTACTACTGAGAAGTTCTTCAAAGAGAAATCGATCCCACTGGTTACTTTCGCTCTTTTTTCCTCCTTATCCTTTGCTCATTAAAATTCTTTTTGTATGCAAATTAGGTCACATCCAATAACATAGCAAAGTTTCTTTTTGTATGTAAATTATGTCACATCCAGTAACATAGCGCTTAGCGAAGGATGTTTTCTGTCTCTCATATCATATCTCTTGCTTTCTTCTCATCATTAAATTTTTGTTTCTCTTAAATTTAAGGAATATTCACACCTGGAAGAATCACCTTTCACTTCAATGGATACTCCTGCATCGCATAGCACACATACCTGCGGTATTGATTCTGAAGAAAATCGAGGAGTGGTCTGTTCCACTGCTGTTCTTCCTTCATTGCCAGGCAAATAATTTTTTAACTTAGAAGCTGCTAGTTTTGATTAGCTAAAATTTGCTTAATTGTTATCTGATCTCTGCATCTTTTTTTTTTTCACCGTTCTCAAAGTTATTATGGATTGCAGAACAGTTGTGTCGTCCAGTTCTCCAAAAAGGCAGCAGCTCTCAAATATTCACCAACGAACGAATAAGGAATCGACCACCTCCACCAGGTAAATTGTCATGTTTGATTAAGCAGTAACATAAGAGAAATGATTGGAAATCTTTCATTACCATTTCCTAGTGATATTTTTTCTTCACTTACTAATTCAAAACGTCTAGTTTTTATTGTGGATATGGTTCTGATCAAAGTTTTACGAAATTTTGAAGCAAAGCAAGGCTACATCAAGCTATGGAATCATTACAGCCTACCATGAAGTAATTGAACAACGTTTCACTTCCTTATCCAGACAGAACACGCTATTTTCATCATTAATACCATTACAATCAGCGGATACTTCCATCGATGACCAGTGGCGCCTTACCGAGTTAGTTAACTATTTTGGCTTCTCGTTGGCTGTTGTTTCAAAACAATTTGAAAAAAAAAAACAAAATTTTTTAATCTCTAAATTCCTTACCTTTCTGGACAGCTGTGTTTTATCGTTGCAAGCGGTGTCCATAACACGAACAACTCACAACTTAATTCTAAAGAACTTGGATAAAAAAGAGTGAAAAAGTGATCGTTAAAGTTATTCCATTTTTAGTTGTGTAACATCCCAGCCAATCAATCTTGATAGCAGTGATGCTTTGACAAGTAAATTTTATAGTTTCTCGTATTCTAGCTTTTTCAAAAGAAAATTTGAATTTATTTCTAGTGAATGAATATTCCCCATTGATCTCTCTAATAAGGATGGTTCTCCTAATTGAAATGGGAAAAATCTTATATCACGATAACAAGGAAATTTTTAAAATAACGCACTTGAGTTAGCTTTAATTTGAATTAGTAAATATTTTTGTAAATTCTTGAAATTTTCTACCATTTTTTTAAAGCTAGTACATGATGCTGGGATATACATTAATTTTCTGTTTTACTTTCCGAAATTGTTAAGTTTTTTACAGGAAAATTGAGCGCTAATGCTTTAGAGGGAATAATTCAAAACCAGAAACAAGTTATCGAGCAACAGAAAGCTTATTTAGCTAGATTGGATCTTGCCATCGACAATGACCAACAACGCGAAGTTATCCAGGTAATTGTGCATGAATAGCTGTTATATTGGCCTAACAAACTTCTGATTTTTTGGGATGCCAAAGTTTTTCAGGTTGAGTTGATCCTAGGAGTTTTAGGTATGAAAATTCCATTCTTGCTCTGCGAGGCGTATTTAACAATTATAACTAACAAAAGTAACTATATGCAATTACGAAAGATCATTTGAGAACCTTGGTTTTTTATGGCAAATCACTGAACAACAAACTTATTTCTTAAATACATCTCAGTCTTTCACATTCCTCTGGAAGCTTAACAAACGCAGTATAATTTGCAAAGCATGGAATTTCAATCTCTTTTTTTCAGTTGAGAAGACAACAGGAAAACTTAAGAGCCGTACTGAATCCGTTACGGGAATGTGATTGGCCAAATCGCTTACAGCATGAACATAATGAATTGCAAAAAATTACTGCATCCATTAGCGAATTTAAGCAGAAATTGGATGCCATCACAAAGTAAGTTTTGTTTCATTGGTTTTCTTTTCTGTATATAACAGTTTCCTTTTTTATGAAATGTGATAGACCCGAAAATCTTAGTAAAAAACATCAGAAGAGACTTTCCCTTTTTTGCGAAGAAGTACCATTCAAGTTTCGAGTGTGGAAGTTCGCTTTGCATATGTAATGAAATTGGCTTAATTAAAAAAATGAATAGTTTCAGAGAGACTTTCAACTTTTTAACTACACTCCTAACGATCAAACATACTGTTGACATTGTTTTCAAATTTCAGTGAAGTTAAGTTGCGAACCGATGAAGAGCATAAATTAAAATGCAGTATACTGGCGATGGAGGAGGAACTCAAACAGCTGGAGGATGATGTTGATATTGCGATACTGTCCGAGAACAACTACTAAGTAATTTATATTTTCTCTTAGGTGTACTAAAATAGCTCGAAATCTCATATTAAAGTTCTCACCACACTCTTCAACTTTATATTTTCCCCTTGCTACGAATTTTAAACACCAATCACTTATCATAATGCTACCACTATTATTCGCTGTATTCACGGTCATTATTTGTGTTTCTATTGTTTAAAAGTTTAAAAACTGGACATGACTCTATAATTCTTCTCTAAAAATAGCATTTTATTTCGGACGTTTTGTAGAGGATATCTTTTTTCCAAGTGCCATTTGACTCGGTCTTTTTTCCAACATAATACTGATTATCATTGCCGAAAAACATCACTTAGAAAAATTAATTTTCCAATATAATACTGATTATAATTGCCGAAAAACATTACTCAGAAAAATTAGAACTTTTATTTTTACCTCCCATCTTTCTTTCACGTTAAACTTTTCCAATTTTTTTTACGAATGATTACATATGATATATTGCTAGAATTATTAAATATATTACTGGAATTACCACAGTATATTAAGGCATTCTAAAAATGTCTAACTAGAATCACTGGATGTATTACCAAAATATTTTGTTAGAGTCATCTAAATGTATTATCGGAATCACTCAGATGTACTATTTTAAAGTCGTCTAAGTGTAAATCTAATATCTGCAGTATGTCTGGACGATTTGGCCTAAATTCATGGATTATGCGTAAGTAGGTTTTAATTGAATTTGATATCGAGTTTAATTTATTACTTATTTATCCTATGCTTCCCTTCCTTAAAATAGAATTATTATGGATTTTGAAATAAATGAGGTATGAATGCCCATAATTATTCGCTGCGCAGAAAAAGTAAAAACTGAAATTTTACTCCTGTCATCTATATTTTTTGGGTGATTTGTTTTATAATGAATTTTCTATTTAAAATGTGTTGAAATTGTATTTCATATACGTTGAAAGCATTCAAAAACGTTATAAATTACTGGTTTCGTCGAATGTGTTCTGTGATTCCTCACCCTTTTCTGTTCTTTACTTTTGAATGCTCACTGATAGGCTATTATTACAGAAGTCAACTTTGTGTGTATTGATTTCTTCTAGAATAATTACTTGAGATTGTGACATGTTTCTTATTTATTGCATGTCGATTGACAGCGCAACATTTCGACCTATTAAAAGATGTTGAAGCATTGAAATACTGGTAGACAGAGTTCACAATTTACTGTACAGTGTCTATTTTCACTTACCTTGATGTGCTGTGTTTTGTATTGATTGTGTTAACTTTGTCAATTGAATAAATGCTCAAATTTAAAGGATTTTATAAGAAGGATAACTTATCTTCAAATATTTGGCAGTTCCAGCCATCTTTACATAAATCCATTCAATTCAAATTTATGTTCTTCCGTTTTATTTTTATTGTCTTTACTGTCCTGTGTTTAATATTTTTTTTGACCGTATTTATTTGTGTGCCGTGCTCATTTCTAGTGTTGTTTTTTCAATTCTTTAATTTGACATGTTTCACAGAAATTTGTTAGGATTAATGAGTAGTTAGTTGCAGGTATGGTGTAGAATCTTTATTAAGCTATCGGAATTTTTTCAAAATCGGTAAAAGATCAGGAGGCAAGAGGGCCGAAATTATTCTACTGTATTTGACCGATTGCAAAATTTGGATCTTGAAATTATAAATTAAATACTGGGGCCTTTAGCTCCGGAAAATTTTTATCCGACATTTTTTTCACTAGACTCCTTGTGATTAGGCCATCGTTAAGGAATGGAACTTATGCAGCTATGAGGTCCCACTTTCTTCATTTTTATTTAGGTAAATGTAGAGAGTTGTAGTAGATTTAGAATTTTTTTTTCAGGTACACCAAAAATTCCTACAGATATGACAAGCTGTCAGGAATTTTTATGTTTAATTACCCGTTCGAGGCGATTTTTTTTGTCACTAAAAGTAACTTGTTGTGATTATTATAAAGAAATGATATTGTAAGAATCAGAACAAAGTTCAGGATTTTCTGCATTTGTGAGACTAAAAACGGAAGAGGGAACTCCATGACAGAGTTGTTTGAAGGTATGATATCGGACAGGGGGGATGTTCATCAGTAGTATTTTTTTGCTGCTGTTTTTCTGACGGTATATTGGAAGTTGCTTTCTAATTTTCTTTCCAAGATTTCATCAAATCTCTTCTCAATTTCTTCCTGTGGAAATGTCAAACTTATTCAATATCCTAGCAGAGAGAAGAGGGAGAAGAAAGAAGAAGGAAGACAAAGCCATAAATTCAGAAAAACATTAAGCCTAATTAATATTGCCCCCCTATCGGAGTCACATTAACTTCTAATAGGTAGCTAGGATGCCATTTGTACTCAGTTTGTGGGTCGACACTTTTCAGTTGTCCGAACGTAGGGCATTTTACATTACAGTCTCATACCACCCCCACCAAACCGACTCGTCTTCATCTCATCTTTTACGGCCCATCAAAACTGACTGATCTTCGATGTCGGGAAGGTTATTACTGAATTTGCTGGCAGGTATGGTTCATGGAGTTGTCAAGTATTCGACTCTTCTATTAAGGGATGATATTTTCACTTTGGTCTTGAGGAAGATATTATACTAAAATTCTTATAATATCTATTCAGGTTCAGTATGGTGCACCTTTAATTCTGATTAAATGTTAGGTCACATTTTATCATTTCTGCTGTTAAATATATCAGTTTTTCAGTATTTCAGGGTTTAAGGAGGCATTTTGATAAGTGGACACAGTCTGCGTTGGGTGTAAATGGTTCCTATCTAAACTAATATATCTGTGTTACGCTATAGCTTTTCAATATTATTAATCAGAACAGCAAAATTCATTTATCTTTTCACAAATTTTAATCAACTAGACATAATTTAATTTAATTAAGTTCTGAGTGAGAACAATGTCGGAAGTGGTATCACAAATGAAGTATCCGCCTGATATATCGAAATCACGATGGGATCAATCGACATTCGAAGGGCGTGCTCGCCATTTTTTTGTGACTACAAATCCGTTAAATCTTTTTGTATCTAAAAAACGATTGGAGGAAGCAAAAAAAATTGTTCTGGATTATAGGTATGTCTTACGAATTTAATATATACTGATAGCTTTAAAAATTTCTTGAAAAAATTCTAGTTATCAAACATTATATGGCTGGCTATATACACGTATGCTGAACATATTCGTAACTGGCGTAAAGCTGATAAAAGGCAGATGATATCCATTGAGCTGGCGGCAAGGTCGAATAACTGGAGATTATATATGATCAGTGTTCAGCAAATTTTAACTTTTATTGAAAAACGAAACTATTAGCAGTTTCTTAGATTTTTGCTTATCGTTTATTTTTCGTTATGGCAGTCATCAGAAAGAAACAAAAATCAAATTCTGTCATGATTTCGATTACTCTGTAGCAAATTTTATGCAACGTTTTGGTTTGTAATTTGTGTAGGTACTTGCAATGGTTGTGCAAATTCTGTAACAGATGTGAGAGAGAGAAATAATTAATTCAATCAAGCTAAATTTTAGATATGGACAGAAAGTACCTGAGAACTTAACGGTTGATGAGTTATGGCGTGCGAAACACGTCTTCGATTCTGCATATCATCCTACTACAAATGAACTTATGATTTTGCCAGGTCGTATGAGCTGTCAGGTACCTGGCAACATGTTCTTGACCGGTGGCATGCTGACTTTCTATAAGTTTGTCATTATTTTTGAAGTTTTTTTGCAAGCTAAACAGTGTATAGTGAGTGAAAGCATTAGTTTTGAAATTTCTCGCATATCACGTTACCGCGCTGCTAACTTTGAATACTTCAACCTTATAGTATTTCCGTTCCAATTTATTATTTTTATAAAGAAATCTGATTCAATTGGCTGCTCTGGCTTGAAAGAAAAGGACTGATTGCTATTTTAAAGCTCTTCATTAGTCGTCATTGTGAAATTTCAATTTTTACTCCAAATTTTTTGATTTGCATTTTCCAAAAAACCGTTTGAGTTTGCTAAGTCAAAAGTAAAAATTCTTGAATATCTCAGAAAAAAAAATAAACGGAATTAAATACCGTATCAAACTTGAATTAAGATCTTCGGGCGCTGTAATATTTTGGCAATGGTTGAACCAGTCATTCAATGCAGTCGTAAATTATACAAACCGTTCGGGTGATAGCGTTTCCAATAAAACACTTTTAACGTCGTATTTCTGCGCAACGAGTGCTGCTGTTACTGCTGCATTAGGGCTCAATTCATTAGTAAAGGTGAATTCGCTTTTTATTAACTACTGGAAAATTTTGAGAAGAAATTCAAGGCGGGTAGACACTAAGGAAAACAGTAAAAAATGCATGAACTAACAAGCCCAGTAAAAAATATATGTATCTCTTGAGTCATCATAGTTTCTCTACCTTTCACGTAAGCGTTACCTTCTAATTGCAAATGTTAGAAATTGCCAACATTTTATCTTTTAGTGCCAGAATCACATGATTTGTTTTAAGAACGCCATATTCTACATATTCTTCATCGTATTTCACGTTTCTTACAAAGCATAAATCAGTAATTATTAAACCTATCACATACCTAAAATTATGATCGTTCTCAAAACTTTGAAAAGTTCAATTATTGTTGTAGTCAATGCCACCGCTGATCGGACGCCTGGTGCCATTTTGTGCCGTTGCAGTTGCAAATTCAATCAATATCCCTCTTATGCGGTCTAAGTTTGTTTTCTGCATTATTTTAGTTAATAGTAGATACGAAAGATTCACTCTTGCTGACGTTTAATTGTAAAAAATTAAATTAAGTTAGTAAATGTGACATTGTAAAATACTTCCATTTAGATTATGCTTCTTTTGCTACTACTCTCTCTGCTAGGCTTTTTCGAGCATTATGAGTTTTAATGATATTTATACTTTCAAACTGACTTTAGCTATGGCGCTTGAAGAGATGAGTACGCATTTTCTTCTAGAGAGTTGGTAGATGGCATTGCGATATGTGATGAAAACGGTAATAAAGTGGGCACCAGTAAGAAAGTAGCACGAATAGCCATAACTAATGTTACGATAAGCCGAATTGGAATGGCTACTCCATCGTTTTGTAAGTGATCTGTTGAATATGTTCAATATCTTTATGTTTTGATTATGAAAGCCGTAGTCATACTTCATTGATTCGAAATCTCATACAAAAGTAATGACGAGAAACTTTTATTTCTTATTACTATTGTCATTATGTTATAGTCTGTATACCAGTTCTGATGAATCAGATTGCGAAGACGAATTGGTACCAGGTAAAACCCCACATTTAATTATGTAAAATTTGAAGCACTGAGAAGGTGTAAGAAGTTCAAATTACAAAAATGCCTTAAAAGTGAGGCATTTCTGTAATTTGAATTTTTGGAATTTGTTTTATTAATCCCATTTTATCCGGTGCAAATTCATAAACAGTAAACAGTGCTAACGTCCTCTCTGATGCAAATTTTTTTTTAACTCAAATCTGTGAATTATCAAGCACGTTCCAAATCACGAATATTATAAAATATGTGGCGTTTTCAAAATTCTTAAAACTGTGTTGCAGAAGCGACCTTGGGTGTCAGCTCCGATACAAACATTGATGGCTGGTTTCATCCTAACATTTGCAACACCCCTGTGCTGCGCCATTTTTCCGCAGATAAGTTCCATCGAAACGAAGTATTTAGAGCCAGAAGTTCAAAATGAAATCAGTAAGCTTCGCAACCCACCTGAACGCGTGTATTACAATAAAGGGTTGTGATCTCATCTTGACTCTTATAATGATAAGCATGTGAATTATTCTTCTGAATCGTTCCTTATTAGTAATCTTGCAGATAACTGTTTCATACAGTTGTGATAAAATTGCATAAAATAGTAGTTTTTCGAAGAATGCAGTGCAGAGGTCATTAATATATAGACGCTACTAAAAATCAAAACACCATAATAAGAAGAATATTAACCAAATTTCAGTTCAGCTTAATGCACATTTTCTTTAAATATTGAACAATTAAATTGTCTGCGTTGGCAATATGATTCATACAATTTATGAATAGTTTTTATAAACTTATGTTCTTCCCTTCAGTTTATTTCTTGGCTGATTTTGGAAAGAACACGAATGCCATGATCTATTTGTTAAACTGCAATTCTAATCATCATCCGAGCTATTCCTTTTGGTATTTACCAATTCGATCAGACAAAAAATATGAAGAATTGCTAGTTCATCTTGTTGGCCATCTTCCGACTTTCATTCTGCAAGCTCACCAAAATCACAAATCTAGAATCGAAAATAAACAAAGTGTCGAGAAGAGGGTTAATGGACAACTGTTTCATCTTGAACTAAACTATTATAAATGGTTGATCCAATCAGGGAAATATTTAAGTAAATGGAACTTCGAATAATTCCCTTCGCAAGGAGCTATGTCTATTTCTTCGGTGAGAGAAAGGGGAAAAAGATGCAAACCAACCAATGACAGTTTCGTCAAATTTTCAAAGGTATGCCTAAATGGCACGAATGATATATTAGGAAAGCACAAAATTCAAGATTAACGCAGAGAAGAAGGATTTGGGATTCTTGAGAGTTTTTTGACTAATAATGAAGACGGTAACCACGTTGAATGTTTTGCATGTGTTTACCTGCTCCAAAGGTTCTGATCAAACTTTTCTATTCATTGTTGTAATGAAATTTGTACATAATATTTGAAGAAATTCAACAATATGATGCAAGAAATCGGACAATATGAAGAGCGAATTTTGGCTCGGCAGTAAAAACGATAAGGGTGCGGAAAGAATCAGCTGGCAGCAAAGTTCAATTTTTGGTTCTTCAAGCAAAACAGCCCTTTTTCCTGTTTCAAACTTCATGTTCCCATTTGCTCTCCTATTTTTCCAAAAATCCCGGACATATTGTTTGCGGAATCCAAAACAACAATTTATCATAGCACAATCAACTATCACAATTTCAAATGATTTAGCCGTCCGAACTTCATTTTCTGTTTGTTCGCACTGTAATTTTTGTGTTGATTTATTTCAGCCACATTCAAAATTGTCATCACCACATCACGATTATTTCTCATATTTTTCCCTGCTAACGAAAACCGTTCAGTGATATAAGTAGTCCAATGATACAAGAGAAGTACCTGTAGCAGTGTAGAATTGCTGAAATTAAACGATCGTACCACTCAAAGTGTTCTTGCATGAATAGCTAGATTCTATTTCTCTCTGCTTAATTTCCGCCTTATCTTTATAAATTGTTTTGGTGATATGAGTCTGAAACAGTTACACATTTTACAATTTACTGTAATATAAGGAAATTAAAGTTGATCAAAATCAATTTTTTATATATTTAGAGCAAATCCCGTGAAATTTCGTATGAATTCACAAAACATAATTATCACCTTTATCTCCTTTGTTGTAAGATCCAAAATTTTCTCGTAGAAATCAGTTATAGGACTATCCAACATTATTGCTTCACGTTGTGGATGCAACAAACTTGAGGAAAAAAAATCAAACATAATACATGCTATTCAATCGAACTACCTCTATTATGATTCAAATATAGATACAGATTAACAATATAGTTCGTTAAAAACAAGACTTGTTATAAATGTAACTGCTTTAAAATTGACAAACTGAAAATTACCGATAGAAAATTGCAAATGCAACGAATGGCATGGAAAGCATCATTGTTATGAAGTAATTGATCGTGCCTCGGCTAAGTCCTTCCTGAAAATCAAATGGTTATTTGACTTTTAAGTGGTTTTTAAAGTAAAATTTAAATCAATTTTTCTTTAGTAGTACTGGATTGATACTCTACTTACTGCTACAGTAATGATATGTAGAGTGACAGATCCATATGATTTGCCATCAATAAAACATTCATATCGTCCCTCATCTCGGATTACCATTAGCGGCCAAATCTAACATAATTTAATATCGCAGATAGTGCCATTTCCATAATTGCGAAATTTTAAATTTACAGAAAATAATATAAGACTTTGAATGATTTTATAGTCTGTCGTGATATCTTTTTTCAGTAAGCTAAACCTGAAGATATTTCAGTGGTGTGAGCTTGACCCTCCAAGACAACCGAGAATCAGTAATTATTGGTGAACCATCCAGATACCATTCAATGTTTGGCTGGAATTACAAAAGTAAAGTTTTTAAGAAGAAGTGTAACAACGTGAACTCAGAATAAATCAAAAGATTTAAGCTGAACAAGTTATTGGAATTTGTGTGCACTGCAGAAACAAGTATAGTAGTATTTCAGGCAAGTAGTAAAAGTGGAGGAATCGACTTTATGTGACAGACAAACAAATATGTCACCTTATATTGAACTACATTATTATTAAATATTTATTTCATCAAGCTTAGTAAACTTGGAAAAAGTTGAAAAAAGAAGTAATTATCAGACAGTATTAAGCATACTTAGCACGTGAATGCATTTCAGTAATTGCGAGATATCAGTATTTGATTGATTTTGTAGCATTTCTCAATTATTCTTACAGCGCCACGAAAAGTGCAAATGTTTAGAAACAGTTGAAGCAAGCAAACAAAGAAATCAGATTTCTTACTTCCTTTACTTTTCTTCTTGTTGGACATTCCAATATCAAAAATAATCCTTCGATCAGCTCAAAATCAAAATCAACATTTTGCAACCGCAATTGGTAAAACGATTGTTTTCCCAAAAATACTGTCTTCGTTATGAATCTTTTTTTCATTAACCAGTCTTGCTTTTCCTTTTTCTTTTTCCTCATCAACCAAGGAGATTTTCCAAAATATAATTTTTTCAGTTTAATTCCAAATGTCTTTAGAATCCTGCAACTTCGCATTTATTTGTAAATTAAAGCACTCACTCGATTATTTCTAATTATAGGAATATCATTATAATTTCATCAACAAGTTTTGGATTTTCTTAAACGATTGTTTGACAAACAACTCTTTTTGGTTCAACTTTTGAAATGTAGTAGCCATGTTAGATTCTTAAATATAAAGCAAAATAAATCATCTCCTTTCATATGCTTAGATTCTATGAAATTTTTTGGAGAAAAGTGAGAAAATTGTTGAACTTTTTAAAATTTTAATGGCAAAATGTTGTGTAAAGTTAAGAGGAAGAAACAAACTTCGTGGGTTGAGGCGGACATAAACCTCTGGCTGATTGCTTGTCGTATTCGGCAGGTTCGAGCATCGCGCATTCCAACAAATCCAAGTGTCCCAATGGCTTAGTGGTCCTCCTGATGGGTAGTGATACTTCTTGTTTATTACCATCGCACAATTTCATAATGAACATAACGAAAAGTAAACAACCGTCATTGCTCATCATATAGCACATAATAATTTCCAAAGTATTTCAAAATTCAGTTTGATCCACATTTAAATATTTGTTTTCGTTCTCCCAGAGAAAATCCGACAAATTTAACAGGGTGAGATGATATCAAAAATTTTTTGTTACGGTCACAATAAATTTATTCAAAGTTATAGTAGTTGAGAAAGATGCGTGAACATCTTCAGAATGCCTAGATGAAAGACTATTTTCAATTTAACGTCATACGCCATAGTTACGTCTTATCTAACTATTCCGCTCATCTTCTATTGCTTCATTGGAAAATCTAATCTGTCCAAAAAAACATGGCAGTGCAACAAGTTTTGTTTTTGAAATTCGTAAATGCCAAACTGAATTACTCAAATTATTCATGACTTTTTTTTAAATTTTTATGATCACAGTCTCACAGTTTTGCTTAATGTATGGAAATTTCTTTGATTGCAAGCATGTGTTAACCAACTTCAGTCAATGTAAAAGTGAAGAAAAAGGAACTCAAAGCAAATAGTAATGAATGATCGATAAAAGAGCATCATCTCCTTGACATCGGGAATAAAATTCAAAATTGTGGTTGCTATAGAGATATCGTTGGAATTCCACCGTTACGTAATACACTGCTGAAGACCGATGGAAACAGCCAGTCAAAGTGTAATGTCATCCAAATTTGTTCAATGAATGATGTTCATTTTGCTTGATTACCTCAATAATTTCTATCGTACTTTTCCAAGATGACAATAAGACTCCTTTCTTCTAATTTATTCCTTGAAATCTGAATTTTAGAGAGTAATTATATATAATAGTCTTTCAGGTTCAACTCTTCTTATACCGAAACGTTAAATGAAACAGTAATTTTTATCACTGAGCGAGTGTAGTAGGATTTGCTATGATGGTTGATAGTGATTCCGATAATATTGCAAATTTGTTCAAAGTATGTTTGTAGTATTTGCAAAACTAAAAAAAGAATATTATTTGCTAACCGATACCACATAGCTTTATTGCTCGAAAGATAATCACATAATAAACCAGTATTAATTGCTAAGGAATTATCTACTGAAATATTCAGTCGTTAATTTTTGATTAACACTAACCTTGAGATCTAAACCGCGTGTACTACTTTTATTTAAGATTATTTCAATAGTCATTTTTCAGGACACTGATAATTTAGATGAAAAACTATTTGGGAGAAAAAAGGATGTTGCATCAAAAAAAGGTCTTTCAAACATCGATAATTTGCTCGGTGATCCTCAGAAGGTTCATTTCTTTTCTTTCCTTCAATATTGAAAAGTTCATGAAAATCATCTATACCAACATTTCTTATTAAATCTCTGGAATTAGTAAAAAGAAGATTATTTACTTGTGGTTTTTTAGTAGTTATGATAAATTTTATCGTTTTTTTATCCAACGTTATACATCATTTCAGGAGAAAAAAGCCAAAAAAAATATTGACGACTTTTTTCCTACTAAGAAATCGACCGTTTCATTTGTAGATGAATTAAGTGATACTGAACTTCAGCAGGTTTTTTGTTTTGCTTTGTTTTCTTTGAAATCAAAAACAGCTTCTCTTCTTCATTTCGTAACAACTTAAATGCACTTATCAGTACATTTTAAAAATTTCAGCGAGAACAAACAACAAGATCAAAAAGAAACAAGTCGGAGCGTTCATCAACGTGAGCACACCTTCATATTTCTAAAAACTTCCTTTGGTTTATTTTACTGTCTATGTTAACACACTGCTTTTATCTACCGCTGATACGACCATCCACGTCAACCTTCGCGATTTTCGCACCACATTGGCTGACACCGCGGAAGACAAACTCCAGGGCATTTTCTAAAGCAGCTTTTGTGAATGAATACGAAGGTGAACAAATTGACGATAACTTCGTTGCAGTATGAGAGATATACCTTCCGCTGCGACAACTGGTATTTATCAAACAAAATTGACGAATAGAACAGCTTCCGATTTGGAAACTTTATTCGCACCAGAATCCAAGTAAGCACTAGATCTCTTTTGAAGAATGGTGCATGTTCTGGTCGTTGCTGCAGATACTAAAAAAAGCAGTTTTCATGATCCTAAGATGTAGATCTATACCTTTAAACGATACCAATCAAAAAAGGATAGCATAGCTCATACCTGTAATTAACCATTATAGATATTTGACTTGCACAAACCGCGCTCCATACTGAAATTGCCTTCTGCGGTTGTTCCAGTGTTAGTGTCAGAAGGAAAGCGGGGTTTTCTGAAGCACTTTGATAAATGGATTATTGAATCAATTTTATTATTATAACTGCAACATAAATTAGCAAATATGGCAATAGGTACGGAGCCAGCAGTTGGACAAGAAAAGGAACTGAGAGCAAAGCTGATGAAAGCGGACGATATGAGGATTCAAGTCGACTTGAATCAACAAAAAGTCAAAAGAACCGGATGACAAGCACACTGCTTGAAATTCCTGAATATGATCGCATGCAGCGGTAAAGATGCAATTCACTCGAAATGCTTTTGCGCCTTACATTTCAATTAAAGAAGTGGGAATGGTGAGATAATTTGCATGATTCCGAGAACTATTACACCTGCTTTCCTATTGATGTTATTGATTGTAGAATGAGAAACGAAATTAATCGTCTAAATCGGGAAATAGAATCCCTAAAGCGTAAACAAACGGCACGAGAAAAAGCATTGGTGGAAGAATGGAGAGAAAGGATGAAAATCCGAGAACGGCAATTTGAAGAAGAATTTGCCGATTTGGAAGAAAATCACCGGTCATGTTTTTTGCAATTAGTTTAATACTTATCAAATTGATGACTGGAACATAAAGCAAAACTAACAATATTTGGTATTTTCTAGTCTTTTAATTTCTAAAATTTTGTTTAAATTTGCAGGAAGCAAATGAGTCATTTGAAAAGTGACCACGAAAATGTGTCCCAATCTATTCGTGATATGTTCCATAGTCAGATCGAAACATTAACAAATGGACAAAAAGAATCAAAGTTTTCTTTTTGGCAGTAAATCAATCAATGATTATATATTTTAATGAAGTCCTGTTTCCAACACTTCTTTTTTCTAGGAATTATGAGGAGATGCTGGACAAAGTAGATGAATTGATTGCAAAAATAAGCGAAGTGACGACAAATTTGAATAAGCAAACGGATAAAAACAACTCCGATCAGAGCCATTACATTTCATTCAGGGAACAACAGCTCGAAATTCGAGAAGAAAGGTTGGGAAACAATCAGACGGTATATCAGTAGAGAAATTATTTCTGTTTCTATCTCGGTTTCACATCGTTGAAAATTTAGCAATTATTGGCTTGGTTATTCGTATCATTTATCTTCAAAAATCATGCAGCGGGAATCAATGCATATAATTAAAATTTTTCAGAATCAAAAAGGAAGAGGAGTGGCTGACGAATGAAAAACGACATGTGATTGAATTAAATTTGAAACTGAAAAGTTTATACGACAGTAACGAACAAAATACTCTAAAAGTTGGTGCCCTAAGACATTTTAGTGTAGCATCAAACGCTGGCTTGGTGCAGAGCATGTCAAATAATATCCGGTAAAATAACCCAGTCGTCCGATGATTCTAGAGTGGATGATGTTCATCAACGGTCAAGGTCAAAAATTCCAAATGAACATTAGAGTTAGGAAATCAGAGCAGTGGATTTGGTTGTATATAACTGACTGTTATTGTAATTAGTCCTTTCTTCCAAAAAGATACTCAAACTCGGATTGCGAAAAATGTGATCGTTTATTTCCTGCAATTTCTCACATACTTAATTTATTTGTGTTGAAGTTTGATGTTAAATTCTATTGCAATATAAGTAAATGATAAAATATAAAAAATCCCACAAATGACTCATTTTGGGAAAAGTGGCAAGTACGTGAAGAACGCCAAAAATTGAATGCGGAAAAAGAAGCATTTAAAAATGAGCAGCTAAGAATTCTGAATGCGGCGGAACAACAAAAGATCGAGATTGAGGCTTCAAAGGTTACATCATTTTGCATTATTGTTGTTGAAAAGGACAAAATTGTTCTTCAAAGTAAACGTGCATCAGATATAAATCAAATTTTTCTTACATTCTCATAAAGATCTCCTCCTGTATGACCTGAATATGCAGTGGAACTATTAAAAGGCACATTTCCAGAGCTTGACAAAAATGACCACTTTCATTTTTCTTTTGCAGTCCAATTTTCTCCGTGACCAACATGATCTGATAATACGCGTAATGGCTGCAAAATCATCGCTGGAAGCTGAAAAGAGTGCATTCGATTCGCAACGTCAGCAGGATGTGTCAAGGTTGAAAATGGAAGCCGAACAACTTGATCATAAATTGAAAGAGGTGGATCGTCATTTTCTACGCGTGACGGTGAAGATCATGGAAAGAGTAAATTCTATTGTTAGCTGTTTAAATGATCAGAATTAGTTCGTTTTCAGGTGCAAAATGCTGAAGACATTTTACAGAATACGCAAAGAATTTATGAACAGAAATACCAACAGGTATTTCTATTTTCTACTTTATTTTAAAATCAAAAGCTATGCTAAGACTCATAATAACTTCCCTTTTCGTTTATTTCCAGCTGGTGACATTGGAAAGAGCACTTATAGACGAATGTTTTGAACTAGAACGATGTCGCAAGCAATTGGAAACCGTTCAAAACGACACTCGAAAGAAACGCAATTCAAGAAATGAACAGTTTCAGGTGAGTACCAAAAACAATATATACACCGATGACCCACTATCTATGCAGACAGGAATTCAGATTCGTCGAATCCAGCTATGATTTATGGAAATTCCCGTTTTCCTCTATCCAAATTTGTCATTTCGAAACTGTTTTCAAGAAAAAACCTAAATAGACTGGTTTGCAGCAAGTAATACCAATGATGGATATAAACGGGCCGGACTTCATCACAGATCCGTACATCGATGAAAGGCCCAACCAAAGGTTACCGACCGTTTTCGCTGCTTTGTAGCACAAATATATTCAAATCGGAATTTGTAAAAATTCGAAATATTTAGTCTTGTACCTTTTTCAGAGAGAAAAAGGCCTACCATGCAATATTAAAGATGCATGCTAGAACAATGGAGAGTGCTGATTCAGAAAAAAGTCTAAATACACAAGCTTAAATATTCAGTGAATACTAAAAAATAAACTTATTGAATTGCGAAGTGTGGAAAACCAAAGAAACTTGATACGCTTCATTTCTAGGCTAACAAAACGGTAACAAATGCGCATATAATTGAACAACGATGTCATTTCAGTAATATGTTGAAGGTTGAGATTTATTGCATACATGGAAGATCGATTGAAAGATATGCTAACAATTCGACATCGAGCTCTAAAATTATCAGTCCTACAAAAAACGAAGAACAAACAAGATGTGAGAATTAGTGACAAAACCTGTATTAGCAAACAACAGTAATAAAAATGCATAAAAACTGGAAGCATTTCCCGTTTGTCATTTCGACCCGGAAGAGACGATCTCGAAAATAAAACTTCGCGATGTCAAGAACTTATATTTCAAGTGACCATTGAGATCACTTCAAAAGTACCTAAGCTCACATGAACATTGTGCAGATGGGCAGAAGCGATCTTCTGCACATATGCACAATCACAAATTGTCATGTGATAGAAAGATTGTTGGATGATATAGGAAATAATCAAATATCTTAAATATCTAGAAAAAAATGAACTCACGCGAATTACAACGAACAAAGATTTCAACGGAAACAAAAAGGTTTTGAAAAACGGAGATAGATATTTAAAAAATGAGGTGAGCTAGTTTGAAATGAATAATATACAAAGGAAAAATACGGCTTGGAGCATATAATTATACGCATTGTTCTGCCAATTCATAATATTTATTTGCTAGTTTTCCTCGCATAGCTTCCGTTGCTGAAATAGCCGCCTCAGTATACAAATCATATGCTTTCGTTAAGTCTTGCAAGAGACCGTATCCACCTGGAAGGAGCAATAACTATGAATCACAGCAATGAACCAATCAACTGATGATGATACTTGACATCAAAATGTATTTTGTAGTGAGTGGGAGAGAAAAATGTAATGCGACAAAACTCGATTAAGGATACCTACCTATGATTTTATTGTTAGTTATTGAATATTTTTAAGCTGTATTTGAAAGTATTTTGGAACAAAATATTCATGACACAATACACGATACATATTTATCTAATTAATATGATTAAGCATTTTTTTTGTCATTTTTTTCATGATATTTTAATCCATAGAAAATTTCTTGCTTATTACTTTAGTTCAATTTCTTGAATAAGATCTGTCTAGAAATATCCTGTTGACAATCTCGACTATAATTTTGTGGAGGAAGAAGAGAATGAGCAGCTAGTCTGTAATCTTCACTGCATTTTCATAGCAAAAGACATGCATTCTAATCCATCTGGTAAGAGACAAAAAGGAACTAGTCATATATGGAAGGACGAGAGAAGAACAAACAAAAAGTGAATTCCAAAAGATTACATTATATATCCAAAACAGTTAACACCAATAAACTATAGATATTTACATACCTTCTTTATACATAACTGCCATTCGCTCCAGCAACTCATAACGAGGACGGACACCTTCGTGAGGTGTTTCGTTTTCGTTTGCTTCTGCACTTTGAAGAAAATTTAAACCTTTCTCATACCAAGCAACAGCTTTGGGCCACGAAGGTTTTCTGAAAAATTTCCAAATAATATTTACATGCTCGATGACTTTTCTTCCTTTTATCCATATCAAAAAAACAAAAAAAAAGAGGGAGAAAAAATATTTCGTTGCTTTGATTTGGACTAATCCAACTTTTACGAGCCCACAAAATGAACTAAACGAAATCAATATTTCAATAGCAACTTCATTGGTCCCAGAAAACGACCCGTTTCATATGCCTGTGCAACAAAAATGACGGCGGATTGGTCGCCCATATCTGCAGCACATTCCATAAGCTCGAAACCAGTCCCTTCCAAATCGTCATTTTCCCACACTTCTTCACAAACTACTTCTTTGAGCAGCTCATGAGACTGACCTAAATATAACAATAAAAATGATATTAGATCCAATCTTTCATTTAATAGAAATATGATAAGTATAAGAAAGAACCAAAAGCCATTTTAGCCATGGTACTTATCGCTTCAAGAACTCCACAGCGTCGAGCAATGTCAAGATGATAAAAAGCCGCATTTTTGTCGTACTCAATATAATTATCTGAAATCAACTGAAATTCTTATTAAGAAGTCTTTTTCTTATCACAACGGCAATAGTAGATGATGAAATTTTTTTTACTATTCTCATTTTGATATCAACTCTTTCCAACTTAGAAAAGCTACAAGAGTATAAGACACAAAACGGTTAGCACCTTTATTCTTTTTGTTTTCACAACTATTCGTAGAATAAACGTTCTCTTTCTCGGAACAAACGAAGGCTGGTTTTTCAACAAATTGTCCCAATTCGTGATAACGCGCAAGATCCAAATGTATCTGAAACATCATAACAAGAACCAATATTCCTGAAAGATTTCAGCTATAAGGAAAATGCCAGGCGTAGGCTTTCAACAAGAGCTTGAGATATCAGCCAACAAGTCACTTACCCGTCATAAAGTTGGTTTTTTTGACATCTATACACACTAATTTGATAGGAAATCCTAAGTCCTATATTTGTAATCATCAGGACTCAAAGCAGCATCTATTGCAAATGTTAAACCATGTAGAAGGCGACATGCAATAGAAAATATCAAATTTACAAAGTTACCTGACCAAGGATGCAATTCGTACCACGAATTTTTTGCGAGAATTCAGAAAGTTCTTTGAATTGCAATTCCGATAAGAGCCCCGCTGGTCGTGAAAATTTACGCCTTTCACACCAATATGCTTCTCTTTCTGCTTCCTGGGTAATATGCTGCAGGTAAATTTAAACTAACTTCGCCTTAGCTTAATTTAAGGATTATTAGAGCATATGGTTTACTAAACTTACTCGCGTCATTCTCGCACTGCAGCTACTCAAACTTCCGGACTGAGGATCATGATGTATTCGTTCTTTCATCTAAAATTTGTTCAGTTCTTCAGAAATTTAAAGATATCAATCACCTCCCACCATATATTTTTTTTAATTGTATATTTTAAATTTAAATTTGTAATAAAGTGAGACAAAAAATGAAAACAAGAATCATCATCTTTTCACGATAATCTTATACCTCACTATCAGCTGAATCGAATAAATTTGAGGCACATGAGCTGATGAATCGTGTTTTAGCCATAGGTTTATCAGAGTCATGCACAATTTGCTCAAAATAATCGTTAGAAAATCGCACATCAGGATATTGCATATCAGTGCTGTTTTCATCACAAAACGAAGATGCTATAAAAAATAAAGCCTCGATATGAACATTGCTAGGATTTTTATTTCTATAAATTATAGCAAAGTATTACATGGCATAATACCAGAATCTTCATATCTCACCGTCAAGATGGACCGGTAAAACCTAAACATCGTTCAAACATAGCTGGATATATATGAATCCCGCATAGGCCCAGATGATATGCTATTGTCGAAAAAATAAAAACCTGTATAACTGAAAGATTTATGTATAAAAGGATGGGATCTAAAACTAAACATAGACGATTGCATCAGTGTTACTGTTCGCTGCCTTGTCATCGAGCTATTATAATGATCGCATATGAAAGCTAATTCCCGAACTTTATTTTTTGCATGTTTTTTTCCAAGCTTAACATAAACACATACTTACCTGAAGAACGTCTTCCTGAGCTGTTCACGGATGCTGTTCTGCGTCGCAGCTCTTCCATAGCATCACCTGTTTCTTCAACAAGAGATGAACAAATGCTTGCTGGTCTATTACTACTACTTCTAGTCAGTGAACCCCAATTCTAAAAAATTTTCAATCCTACTAATTACATTCGAGATCATGCTATAAGAAAATGATTTAATATAAAGTATTACTGAAGAGAAAATATCAAGGATCTTGATACTAAATAAAGATCCATATTTCATACGATATAGTCAGTTATCTTTCTCTTTACCAATCTGATTTCCAATTCTTCATAAATACTAAGTATTTACCCTTTCGACATTACCACCTCCTTTAAGAGCATTTCTCTCGCTTTCAGAAAGATCGAACTCAGTCAAGCACATTGATCGACAAATGTCATTGCACAAATGGGAATGGAAAAATAATGCCATTCCTTTCGTACCAAGATTTCCACTACCATAACCTTCTCCAGTTGCCTGAATTTCCTTAATGAAGTATGTGACAACGCTTTCGGCTAACATATAAAACTATGCAATTGAAACTGAACTGAAATTAAAGGTTTTGAAAACTAAATTAGGCACTTATAAGGTTCCCAATCTAGCAGTAACACCACCAGTTTCAATCTTTTCGGGTTTGTGAGATGTAAACCATAAAGGAAGAACACAAAACATAATTTTCTCATCAATTTCAGCACTGATGGAGAATTCAAAAAAAATAAACTGAACAAATATATTGATAAATTTTGCAATTTTGCAAGATACAAGAGGCATACGGTATGTATTTGCGGATCGGTGTACAAATCTCCCACTCCTTGAATATCGACAACAATCAATTGATGCCCACTTCGTTCAAATGTAAAGTGACTGAAGGCCTACAAGTGTCAGCATATCAAAAATCAACACTATATCGCCGTTAATTTCTCATATTTCAAAAATAATTTGTAAGTGAAGCACATAACTAGCATATCTGTGATAACTAACCTGAGGCGTCTTGCGACAAACATCTGTTACAAAGCCAGAATTGGAGTTGTATTTAATGTATTCGCCTTCTACGAAACGTTCAAGATGATAAAATGCATATTCATCTTCATCAAGAAATTCCAAAATGCATACTTGAATAATGTCAATCTAAACAATTTTCGTAAAAAAATCTAAACATATGAAAAAAAATTGCCAATCTTAACATATAAAAGTTAACTCTTATTCAGACATTTAGTATGATAGGTCTTGTCTTTGCCAAACCAAATAGAATTACCTTTTTAGGTGGATGATGACGATTAAATTCTTCAGCCCAAAGTTTGCTATCCATTTGCAACTTTACATCTTCGAACAACACCTGCAATAGTGGACGTCTATTTCGGTATATTTGCCAATAAAAATCTATTCGATTATACGAAATTAAATGTGGATAAATTATGTTGTCTAGCCAAACTGGTTAACGACTACAATCATGAAAGACTGTACAGTGATTAGAACAAACAAAATAACAAAACTGAGTCTTTAGATAGATTTTCAAAAATCTTAATGATAAAAATCCTTTTTTCCCACCTCTTTTATTTCTCATAAGCCGACCACATGTAAATTACAAACCCGAATGCGCTAAATCAAAAATGGCAAACTTCTTTATCAACACTTCTTATGTATTTTTTGGCAACATAGTTCTGTGCATGGTCCCAGTCCTCATTTTTACCACGCGATCCAAGTTTTTTCAAGCGATAACATTCGCGCATTGCGCCTCGAGCAAAGGGCTTCAAATAATACACATGAGTAAACAAATAACTATGCTCAACTCTCGAGTCACTGGAAAAAATCATGCGGTATAAAACATTACTCATTTAAGTGCCAAATGATTAGCTGGCTAGAATCATTTATGAACATTTTCTTTAACTGATGTATTTTTAACACGCAGATATTTACAATTCTACTTCAAATTGACAGGTGAATTCAGTCAGTGTTTAAAAATAACCCTAAGGTAATACAGAGTGCAATATAATTTATGGAAGAACACTGAAAAATTAAAATTACAACACCTCCGGATGCAATTTCACTTTCACATCATCAACGGTCCAGCACTGTTGTATACATGAATAACGGTGGCGTTTACAGTCTCTTACAGGTAATTTATCGAAATGGAATTTTATCCAAGAATCATCTGGATGTTTCACACACCTAATATAAATAAAAAGGCGTTAAAAGGAAGCATTACCAACTGCATCTACAGAATTTCAAATCACTGCTAGAAAAAATTAGAATTGAAATGATATAAGTTGTGTGGTGGGTGCAACAATTTATATAAATCCAGATGGCATGGACATAACTGCAGAAAGCACAAAATACCATGACGCGAGTTGTTGCCATCGATGTATTAGTTCCCGATTTCCTTCGGATAAATGCGGTAAATGCTGGTTATGTCCGATATGCTGACAATTTCTATTATCTAAAGAGTTCAACTGACCAAAGTCCAGCTTTACCGACTCCTAAAATCACGAGAATTATATGAACAACACAATGATATCAACATCTGTCAAGTACTGCTTACGCTTACAGAAATGTCCCAGAGAGGTTCGAGCGATTGCCATTCTGCCGAGTCATCCAAATGTTCGTTTTCAGCACCATCGTCCTGCAACAATCAGACCAACCATACACTAAAGAGTGATTTTAATTTCAATTTAAAAATTGATGAACCACAAGAACTTTTTATCAATAAAATAAAATAAAACTTCGGCTCACTCAAAATTGCACTCAGCGTCGACAGATCAAACACATACATATTTCATGAAAACAAAATCTCTTTAAGGTAATCTCGAGATATCTTGAATTGGAATCTTTGCTCGCAGATCCTACATATCTCAAGCTGGAAATTTTGAAGCCTTCCATTGAAGAGAAATCTAATGTAGCAAACAGAAAAGAGGAAACAAATCTATAACAGCTTTCTGTAACATCTATAACAAATTTATAACATCAATGTGTCCAATCTACATCAATCTATATTCTCACTATAAAACTCATAGTACCTGTATTGGCGAAACAGAGCCGACACATTTCATGTAATTTTCAATCGAATCCATAAAAAAATACTCAATAAAATCAATGATCTAACTTTCTTTCCATTCCTGTAATAGCAAAAATCGGAAGATTGGAACCGGAACAATGGAATTGGAAAACTAAATCTTTCCATTACCTATATAAGAAACAAACATAACACTTTTAGCAATATCATTCCTGAAAATAATCGAAACAAACATGAAGCATTACCACTGCAAGAAAAATTGTGCTCACGATAGCGCAACTATTACAAAAATTATAATTATGATTCAGTAATTCAGTACGAACAAATTCTCCAAGTGCCACACTATAAAATATATAAACAAAACGACTTTTGTTTTTATGACTCGCATAATCACAACTGCAGATTACATACAATATAAGGTTCTCATATGAGACAAAAAAGACCTATCGGAATCACCGATGAGTGAAATTCAAGCGTACAATAAGCTGAAAATCATAGGAAGTCTATGTCTGGTGTGCTAAGTCTCTAATATTCCTCCAGCTTCCTCATAAATCTCACTACCATCCCTTAGTTCGATATGTTCCGATCATATCAGCATTTCCCAACCTTTGGTTCGGGATGTTGATGGTGATGGCACACCGTTTATACCAACATAGCCATATCAAGACATCAATCCCGAGCTTTCTGCAATAGTTTGCCACTTTTTCCTCAAATATTACCTTATTGCACATTAATCCTCCAAGCACCAAAATCCTGTCAGTAAAAACAGTGAATCTGAACAAAAAAATTAAACGATCGGCTATAACTGGCGATACGATCGGAACATATCAAACTTTTAAGGTAAATACAGCTGCAAACATTTTAACCTAGCAAACAGAATTTCACACTGCCCTCCATTAGCATGGATCGACATCGTCTAAAATGCATGTTCACGCTATTCTTTATGATCCTCAGGTAACAAACCAACTTTTGGAGACTCCGAAGCTAATCATTTCGCGAAAGAATTACCGTCAGAACACACACAAAATGAAAGTGGCATCGGTTTTGACTGTGCTCAAAACAGCCTCATCGCCACCCATCCAAAACATCATAATCACCTACCGAAAGCATCTTTTATGGAAGAAAAACAGTATTGCTGATCTAGATTTAAAAATTTCAATCGAAAATACTACAAATGCAATGCGGAGTTACGACATATTTATTCGTCGTATCATAGTCAAAATTTTCACAATCAAAAAACAAATAAAGCAACGACAATCGTTTATTAATAACATCAAGAAAATACATCATTTGCATTGTAATCAATCAGTGGATAATACTCCACCTTCCCATGCATCGTCCCACGAAAAAACCAGAAGGGTACTTTCTTCTCCACAAACAATACGGATAGAAAGATTATTGAGCAACAAGATCCAACATGAAATGGAAATGAAAGAAGACAAAATCGGTGGATATTTCTAAACACGTTAATACCAATATCATAAATTTACACTTTTTAATATCACCATGTGGTATGAAAATAACAATGTGAATCCCGCTTCTTACTGAACATTAAACAAAACGCTAATATCAATACATAGTGCTTTGAAGACTACATAATATAACGCTAAATTTAGAAACATAATTCAAGCATTCTGTATAACTTCAACAAATAAAACGTTTAAAACATGAACAAAATAAAACGAATGATCCTAATACAGATGAGTTCCAGAAACAAATGCAAGTACTCTTTAATGTTATATTGTCAAAAGTCAATTTAACTTTTTACAGTTAATGTATCCGTTTCACTTCAACCTTCAGAACATTGTAGCATTTTTCAATAAAATTGGCAAACCTTTGCTTTCAACATCTGAAAAGATACCGAGAAGCACCACAAAGTGCT